TCAACAAAGTAACATTTATGGAGGGATTCAGAAAACTGATTACCTGGAGGTGCAAAGAGCAGAGCCTGTTATCTGAAGAAGGACGTGAGGCTGTTGCAGCTGGAGGGTAATCTGAATTGTGATGTCAGAACATCTGTCATGACAACAGTTGAGTGAATGATGGTAAATGTTTCCTGTTTCAGGGTTACCCTACCTTAGTGAGATCTCAAAAAGTAAATTTTGGTTAATATTTTTTTTAATGCGTCAGCCATTTCCCACTGAGGTAGGGTGACCCAAAAAGAAAGAAAAAAACTTTCATCATCATTCAGTATTTTCATGTTCTTCAAAGCCGCCACCATGACTCACAAAATCATAACCAGATTGCAAATAAATCACAGGATGGGTAGGGCTTGAATCTATGGCAGGTGAGTCCTAAAACTTGCAGGCCAGTGCGCTAACCTCTCAGCCAGCTGGCTCTAATAAAATTCACTGCATTTGTGGTATCTGTGGTGCCCATGCTAACCTTCCTATGGTACAGTATATAGAAATATACCTAGTTGGGGTGAATCTTCTCAGAGCCAGTGGGCCGAGTGGTTTGGTTAACACACTGGTGAGTTTTAGGACTCGCCTGGTATAGCTTCAAGCCCCACCTGTTCTGTGATGTCTTTGCAATTGTTTTATCACGATTTCATGAGTCATGGTGTGAAGTTCTATTGGTGTCCCTGGAAATGAATGCGTGGATGCCAAGGCAAACACTGCTGTAAGCAAGCCCATTCTACAGTAGAGTTTTGTCTTGTGCGATTTCATGGGCCATATCCTTAGATATATCCTTGGAAAGTGGCAGGCTCTGTGGGCCCTGCAGACTGGATATAAGTTACGCAGGGTTAGGTAGGATGTTGGCATTTTGATCCGCTTCCAGCAGGAATGAGCAGTTTGAGATGAATCTCCATCTACTGAGGATCGGGCAGCCTAGATAGAACAAGTGACCTGAAGAGTGTCATCATGGGCTTGGCATCCCTAGTTTTGAAGGTTCTCATTATCCATCCTGTCATTTTTCTAGCAGATGCGATTGATACAATGTTATGGTCCTTGAAGGTGAGATCCTCCGACATGATCACTCCCAGGTCTTTGACGTTGGTGTTACGCTCTATTTTGTGGCCAGAATTTGTTTTGTACTCTGATGAAGATTTAATTTCCTCGTGTTTACAATATCTGAGTAATTGAAATTTCTCATCGTTGAACTTCATATTGTTTTCTGCAGCCCACTGAAAGATTTGGTTGATGTCCGCCTGGAGCCTTGCAGTGTCTGCAATGGAAGACACTGTCATGCAGATTCGGGTGTCATCTGCAAAGGAAGACACGGTGCTGTGGCTGACATCCTTGTCTATGTCAGATATGAGGATGAGGAATAAATGGGAGCGAGTACTGTGCCTTATGGAACAGAGCTTTTCACCGTGGCTGCCTCGGACTTTACTCTGTTGACTACTACTACTCTGTGTTCTGTTAGTGAAGAAATTATAGATCCATCGACCAACTTTTCCTGTTATTCCTTTAGCACGCATTTTGTGCTCTATTACGCCATGGTCACACTTGTCGAAGGCTTTTGCAAAGTCTGTATATATTACATCTGCATTCTTTTTGTCTTCTAGTGCATCAAGGACCTTGTCGTAGTGATCCAATAGTTGAGACAGACAGGAGCGACCTGTTCTAAACCCATGTTGCCCTGGGTTGTGTAACTGATGTGTTTCTAGATGGGTGGTTATCTTGCTTCTTAGGACCCTTTCAAAGATTTTTATGATATGGGATGTTAGTGCTATCGGTCTGTAGTTCTTTGCTGTTGCTTTACTGCCCCCTTTGTGGAGTGGGGCTATGTCTGTTGTTTTTGGTAACTGTGGGACGACCCCCGTGTCCATGCTCCCTCTCCATAGGATGGTAAAGGCTTGTGATAGGGGCTTCTTGCAGTTCTTGATGAACATGGAGTTCCATGAGTCTGGCCCTGGGGCAGAGTGCATGGGCATGTCATTTATCGCCTGTTCGAAGTCATTTGGCGTCAGGATAACATCAGATAGGCTTGTGTTAGCCAAATTCTGTGGCTCTCTCATAAAAAATTTATTTTGATCTTCGACTGATGCAACCTAGTGTTTTAGCCAGTGATGCAGCCTAGTGTTCCAGCCAGTGATTCAGCCTAGTGTTCCAGCCAGTGATGCAACCTAGTGTTCCAGCCAGTGATGCAGCCTAGTGTTCCAGCCAGTGATTCAGCCTAGTGTTCCAGCCAGTGATGCAACCTAGTGTTCCAGTCAGTGATGCAGCCTAGTGTTCCAGCCAGTGATTCAGCCTAGTGTTCCAGCCAGTGATGCAGCCTAGTGTTCCAGCCAGTGATTCAGCCTAGTGTTCTAGTCAGTGATGCAGCCTAGTGTTCCAGCCAGTGATGCAGCCTAGTGTTCCAGCCAGTGATTCAGCCTAGTGTTCCAGTCACTGATACAGCCTAGTTTTCCAGCCAACGATGCAGCCTAGTGTTATAGCCAGTGATATAACCTAGTACTCCAGTGATGCATCCTGGTCCCTGGCCACAAGAATCATCCCTCACTACTTAAAAGACTGAATAAACTTTAACTGTGTTACCTGTTTATCATTCATCCAAACTCAAAAATTCGATTGCAGACAGCATCAGTGTTGAATAATGATATGGTAATTAAATATGAGAGCTATAATACAGTACAGAGTGCAATATTGACATTAAATATTGATGGTACTCTGGTCACTGCAAGTGATGCTGCGCATAAATGGGGGTCTTGATGCTTGGGTGGGGCTCTTGATTCAAGGAAATGGATAAATTTTCTTTTGAATCGAAAATGAATGTTTCCCAGTCCCCATGTTCTTTATAACCCCTGTTGGTTTAGAGCTACCCAATAGTAAAAGTAAGTGATTATTTTGAAGGCGCAAGTAACCTCTCCATTCTGAAGGACGAGTCCAAGTCCAGTTTGTAAACCATGATAATGTTTTAAAACAAAACCGCACAAGTGGTATAATACTCATTTTCCCAGGCGCTGTGACCCCTGGGGGTTTAGCGCTTCCCCCATGAATAATAATGCACAGCATTTTGGGCAGATTTAATCTAGGATTAAAGCCATTACTAATAAAAATATACATGGACTTGGACTGCTTTAGCTTATAAGTTTAGAGCAAAGTATTGACAGGAGAAATATTGAAAAATATATTTGAAGAATATAAGTTTTAGCCAGAGCTCCCTTCAAGGACCCCTCAAGGGAGGTTTCTTGACGCTGGTGAGGGGCTCTTGAACTAAGGAATTGGATTTGTGCTCCAGTTCCCTGAAGTGAGCCTGAATACCTTCTGTGGAAAATTTTTAATTTTCCGAAACTATAGCGCCTAATAGGTGTTTAATGTGCCGATATGAGTCAAAAATGTATTTGACAATAGGGTAGAACCAAGAGTTCCCTTTGCGCATGCGCGGATGTGCGGGGGTATAGGTGGACTCGGGCCATGGGGGAGGCGGGAGTGTTTTGAATGTGGTGAGGAGGCTGGGAAAGCATGGAACCACGAAATTGGCATTCACGGCGGCCTAAGGATTAATATAGGCCTCATTTCATAATAGGAAGTGTCGTAACTGTTCCTGGTGGAGAGTGAGGGAACGTGATTTACGGGACCACGGTAATAGAGTGGTAAAATGAGTGAATAAGGGTAGGACCGATGGTGACTGGCGCGTCACCATGGACTGTGTCCCGGGGAAAATTACCCTTGGTTTAATCATCACTCATCGGTCTCAGATCTTAATGGAGTGATCTCTAATGTGTATAATAATTATGAGAGGTTAAATCGTCTTGTGAATGGTAATGTAATCAGTGATAATAACGTTGAGTTAAGAGAATGCGGGATGTGAAATAGATCGCCCTGCTCAGAGTGAATGTGTGATTCGTACCGAGGATAATGAAGTTTTATGGAATCACGACTTCTAAACCGGGACAAACCGACGGATACCTCGTCCTGCTGGAATGAGAACCGTGTCGGTGTAGCAGAGCATCGAAATGAGATGGTGAATGGAGGAAATAAGGAGTATCAATCACCCACAGTTAAGTAACCCTTCTAGTTATAACAGACTGATGCTGGCTAGTTAGGTTATGTTGTAATTGGATAGGTTATGAGTGATCCAGCTACATCAAGTGACCACCAGAGAACATCTGGTAAGTGGCGGGATTATGTACAAATGTTTTTCCTTGATGGATGTATCCAGGTGTATCCTACCCCCCCCCCCCTTCATTCAGCTAAACTAATATAATCTATACAGTCCACAATTAATTAGTAGCACCGTACTTGTGGGTGCTATCCAATCCATACTGGTCTCGGATAGATATGGATAAGATTGTGAGGTCGAAGGAACCACTTGCCGCGACCAGGGGTGGTTAAGTTTTCTCACATGTCTACACGGGGTGACTACGGTAAACAATATGGTTGTCTCCCAATGAGATTACTGGTATGTATATAATGTTGAGGTACATACAGGTAAGCACCCTAGAAAATTTTCCATACCTTCCGCCCCCCCCCCCACAGGCGCTGTATAATCCTACGGGTTTAGCGCTCCCCAATGATTATAATAATAATAATCCCTTCAAGGAAGGGACGGTGTGAGGAGCCTTGATGCTGGTGTAGAACTCTTGACCTAAGACAGTGGTTACTGTTACCCTTCTTTTCCTTGGTGTGAATTTTTTTTTTTTAATTTTCCTGTAATTTGTGTGTGAGGATTGATGGGGATAATAATGTTTATCTGAAATTGTGCAGTTGTGTATCTTCAGTGATTTTTAAAAGATGTTCTGTGACATGAGAACTGATTGTGAAAATTTGTCTCGACTTCCTCCATGTGAGTTGCTTACCCTAGCCAACTCTGTTGACACCGAGCTCTGAGGTCGGCACCTCAGCCTCACAAGTGGCTTATAGGACAGATTTCCACAAATGACTGATGTTGCAAGAAAATCTCGCCTGCATGCACGAATAAAGGGTTAACTTACTTGGTGTTGGAGAATCTATTCCGGTCTTCAACCTCCCTAAGCTTTAGCCCCTCTGGACTTCCCCTCAGAACCACGTGCAACCGGGAGCCTTAATTCCTGCAATATTCAGTCGTTATTAGTGACCTGCCTGCACCTCAGAACTCTCTGTTTCCAAGGGGGTGTGTATCCCCTAGTATAACTATGCAGAAAGTGACACTAGCTTCTAAGGTTACACCACGAGGTGACGCCGGCACCTACCGATCAATTAGGTCGTCCAGCTGCACAAAGACCCACAGTTCAACTCACTCACAAATTCCCCCCCCCCCAGAAACTGGCCAGAAAACTGAAGGAGAAAGGGAGGTCTTGTCTTACTGTATGGGCCTGACGGAGGAGGACATCTACGGTACGTCCAGGTGCCTCCACCAGATTTCCCCAGGTCTAGTATAATAACAATAATAATATCTTTATTTACTACAAGTACATGTACATGGTATACAGGCCTAGCTGACAACAATGACATACTACTATATAGAAAGCCACTTGTTATGCTCCGCATGTCGGGCAAATTATGTCAGTGTCCCAGGATGCGACCCACACCAGTCGACTAACACCCAGGTACCCATTTTACCCATGGGGAACATAGACAACAGGTGGAAAGAAACATGCCCGGTGGTCTGATGGTGGCCCGGTGGTCTGGTGGCTAAAGCTCCCGCTTCACACACGGAGGGCCCGGGTTCGATTCCTGGCGGGTGGAAATTCCGACACGTTTCCTTACACCTATTGTCCTGTTCACCTAGCAGCAAATAGGTACCCGGGTGTTAGTCGACTGGTGTGGGTCGCATCCTGGGGGACAAGATTAAGGACCCCAATGGAAATAAGTTAGACAGTCCTCGATGACGCACTGACTTTCTTGGGTTATCCTGGGTGGCTAACCCTCCGGGGTTAAAAATCCGAACGAAATCTTATCTTATCTTATCTTCTACTCTGGCTGGGAATCGAACCCAGGCCCTCGCCATGTGAAGCGAGAGCGTTAGCCACTAGAGCCCTTATAGTATGTGAGTATGTGAAGACACGTGGGGGCGCCGCCTGCTGATCACGGCACTTGGTCCCACGGTGTTTGGTCTTAGAAGAAAGGGCACTGCGGTCTCAAACCCGTGCCCCAGTATTCAAACTTGGGCTGCCAGTTCTCCCTTGCTAATATAACCTAGGGTATGCCTACATTATCGGCCTATTACTACCTATATTAAGGTATTAGGTCTACATTATTATTATCTACAGTTGCCTCAATAATCCTAATATTAGTGTACTAACAGTATAAACTACCTACTTCTTCCTTGAAGGGTAAATCTATCAATTAAATGTACCCTCCAACCACCTTCACCAACCCGGGTGTGTGTGTGTGTGTTTTGGGTGGGTGTAAGGGCCACCCAACCCAGCCGTTCCATCCGCGACCGGACGGGATCTTTGTATGACGTATCTACCCTGTGGAACTTTAGGACCAAATAAATTTCCACACTGATATTCTCTGTTATTTCCTTATATTCTGTAAGGAGTTGAACAAGTGAAAATTATTGCAATTTAGAAGAAATTAATATTTCAATAAAAAAAAATGTAGTACACACATGGAAGTGATATTAAATTAATTTGAAAAAATGTATTGTTAGAAAAACAAAAACATTGGGGGAGAGCAACGAAAATGGCAAAACGTATGCCTGGGGAGTGTGTTTAGCGCTTCTTTTTTATTATAAGATATAATAAGTGGAGAGTGTTGCAGAATTTGATCGTGGGTAACCGAAGCCGATAAAGAATGTATTGGCAATAACTGAGGACCATGAAATGAGTATACAAAATAGGTATCTGGAAGGGTTCATATGGTAATCTGGCCATAATAAGGCTGATAATGAAGATAATACTGGACATGTTGACCATCGTGTATACCTACAATAATTTAATCTCTCCTTAAATATGGTGTGGAAAATTGCATTTACTTGAATGTATTTATTTATTTATTTATTTATTTAAAATAATTAATTTTACCATTAGATGTGTCAAAAAAACAGTAAAGGCTTAT